ATTCCATAGCTTGGGAAGCTGTCACGGCGGGGAAAAGTGAAAATTCCCTAGCTTGGGAAGCCCCCACGGGGGGGGAAAAGTGAAAATTCCCTAGCTTGGGGAGCCCCCACGGGGGGGAAAAGTGGGAACTCCCTAGCTTGGGGAGCCCCCACGGGGGGGAAAAGTGGGAACTCCCTAGCTTGGGGAGCCCCCACGGGGGGGAAAAGTGAAAATTCCCTAGCTTGGGGAGCCCCCACCGGGGGGGGAAAGTGAAAATTCTTAGCTTGGGGAGCCCCCACCGGGGGGGGAAAGTGAAAATTCTTAGCTTGGGGAGCCCCCACGAGGGAAAACCACCCTTAGCCCCTCTCACGGACCGAAATAAACCTGCGGTGTGGGCGGCCACCCCACGCGAAGCGGGGTGAATATACAAAAATGATCAACGTATATCAACGTGATAGAAACAGCCAATGACTAGGCACCGGTGAAGCAATCATCTGGCCTGAAACCGGCATGTGCCAAAGGTCACCAACCAACACCTTTCAGAGGGGCCTTGAAAATGGGCACAAAATCTCAAAGCGGCTTCTGCTCTCCCAGAATTTCGATTCTGAAAAAAATGGAAAAGCAACGTTCTTGCACCGCATGTCCCTTCAAACCCATGGAAGTTTCAATTGTTTTCACAATCACGGCCTACAGTATATTCACGTACTGTTGATGGACGAAATCCTGCACGGCCTTGGATAAATGAAACCCTGTAAAGAATGGGCTGATCCATGTATCAACTGGCGCAGCATTTCGATGCATTTCGTTCATCAACAATTTGAGCCAAAACATGTCATTAAAGGACCGGATAACCCCACATGTTACCAACTTCTTTAGACTTAGACTGACCATAGAAAAGCAAGAAGGGAAGAGGAAGTATAAGAGTGATGGCGCGGTGATGGTGGGTGAGTTTGTGTGTATGTATGTATATTCATGTACAGTGAGTGAGTGAGAGTGTGAGTGAGTGATGTGAGTGTGGTGTGTGTGAGTGAGGGATGTGAGAGTGAAGTGAAGTGAAGTGAAGTGAAGTGAAGTGAAGTGAAGTGAAGTGAAGTGAAGTGAAGTGAGTGAGTGGGTGAGTGAGTGAGTAAGTGGGTGAGTGAGTGAGTGAGTGAGTGAGTGAGTGCGGTAGGTGAGGTGTGAGTGAGTGAGTGAGTGAGTGAGTGAGTGAGTGAGTGAGTGAGTGAGTGAGTGAGTGAGTGAGTGAGTGAGTGAGTGAGTGAGTGAGTGGAGTGAGTGAGTGAGTGAGTGAGTGAGTGAGTGAGTGAGTGAGTGAGTGCGTGCGTGCGTGCGTGCGTGCGTGCGTGCGTGAGTGCGTGAGTGCGTGAGTGCGTGAGTGCGTGGGTGCGTGGGTGCGGTAGGTGAGGTGTGGGTGAGTGAGTGAGTAAGTGGGTGAGTGAGTGAGTGAGTGCGGTAGGTGAGTGCGGTAGGTGAGGTAGGTGAGGTAGGTGAGGTAGGTGATGTAGGTGAGGTAGGTGAGGTAGGTGAGGTAGGTGAGGTAGGTGAGGTAGGTGAGGTAGGTGAGGTAGGTGAGGTAGGCGAGGTAGGTGGGGTAGGCGGGGTAGGTGGGGTAGGTGAGGTAGGTGAGGTAGGCGAGGTAGGCGAGGTAGGCGAGGTAGGCGAGGTAGGTGAGGTAGGCGAGGTAGGCGAGGTAGGTGAGGTAGGCGAGGTAGGCGAGGTAGGCGAGGTAGGTGAGGTAGGCGAGGTAGGTGAGGTAGGCGAGGTAGGTGAGGTAGGCGAGGTAGGTGAGGTAGGTGAGGTAGGTGAGGTAGGTGAGGTAGGTGAGGTAGGTGAGGTAGGTGAGGTAGGTGAGGTAGGTGAGGTAGGTAGGTAGGTAGGTAGGTGAGGTAGGTGAGGTAGGTGAAGGTAGGTGAGGTAGGTGAGGTAGGTGAGGTAGGTGAGGTAGGTGATGTAGGTATGTAGGTGAGGTAAAATTTATGTAGGTGAGGTTATTTTCATTCGGTTCGTATGTTGCATTTCGGTGAGTTATTTGAGTTCTTTTGATGTCTTTTCCTTTAGGTTCTTTCTTTCCTTTCTTTTATTTCTTTCCTTTCTTTCTTTCTTTCTTTTCTTTCTTTCTTTCTTTTCTTTCTTTCTTGCTTTCTTTTCTGTCTTTCTTTCTTTCTTTATTTTCTTTCTTTTCTGTCTTTCTTTCTTTTCTGTCTTTCTTTCTTTCCTTTCTTTTCTTTCTTTCCTTTCTTTCTTTCTTTCTTTCTGTCTTTCGTTCTTTCTTTCTTTTCTTTCTTTCTTTCTTTCTTTCCTTTCTTTCTTTCTTTCTTTTCTTTCTTTCTTTCTGTCTTTCTTTCTTTCTTTTGTTCTTTCTTTCTTTCTTTCTTTCTTTCTTTCTTTCTTTTCTTTTCTTTCTTTCTTTATTTCTTTCGTTCTTTCTTTCTTTCTTTCTTTCTTTTCTTTTCTTTCTTTCTTTCTTTCTTTCTTTCTTTATTTTCTTTCTTTTCTGTCTTTCTTTCTTTTCTGTCGTTCTTTCTTTCCTCTTCTTTTATTTCTTTCTTTATTTTCTTTCTTTTCTGTCTTTCTTTCTTTCTTTTCTGTCTTTCTTTATTTCCTTTCTTTTCTTTCTTTCTTTCTTTCTTTTCTTTCTTTCTTTCTTTTCTTTATTTCTTTCTTTCTTTCTTTTCTTTCTTTCTTTCTTTCCTTTCTTTCTTTTCTTTCTTTCTTTCTTTCCTTTCTTTCTTTCTTTCTTTCTTTCTGTCTTTCTTTCTTTCTTTCTTTCCTGTCTTTCTTGCTTTCTTTCTTTATTTATTTTTTTTCTTTCTTTCTTTCTTTCTTTCCTTTCTTTCTTTTCTTTCTTTTCTTTCTTTCTTTCTTTCTTTCTTTCTTTTCTTTCTTTCTTTCTTTCTTTCTTTTCTTTCTTTCTTTCTTTCTTTCTTTCCTTCTTTCTTTCTTTCTTTCTTTCTTTTTTTCTTTCTTTCTTTCTTTCTTTCTGTCTTTCTTTCTTTCTTTCTTTCTTTCTTTCTTTCTGTCTTTCTTTCTTTCTTTCTTTCTTTCTTTCTTTTTTTCTTTCTTTCTTTCTTTCTTTCTTTCCTCCTTTCTTTCTTTCTGTCTTTCTTTCTTTCTGTACCTGTCTCTTCTGTCTGTCTGTCTGTCCTGTCTGTCTGTCTGTCTTTCTGTTCTGTCTGTCTTTCTGTCTCATCTGTCTGTCGTCTCTCTCCCTCCCTCGTGCGTTTCCTCTCTTTCTCCCGCCCTGTGGTCTCCCCCCGCCCCCCTCTCTTCCCTTCCCTCCTGCTGCCCCTTGGTTCGCCCCCCCTGCTTTCTTTGTTCCCCTTTCTTCGCCCCCCCCCGTTCCCTCTCGTCCCCGCTGTCCTCTCTTCCTCCCCCCCTGCCTCCCATCTCGCGCTCTCCTCTCTTCTGGGCAAAATTCCTATCTTCACATACCTGAGAGGTTCGCCATGTGGTTTTGTCTTCAAATTGTGTCCCCAAAAAGCCTTCCCATTACCATTTCGGGTACCCCATTTCCAGCTACACACCCCCCAAAGATGGGGGGACCAAATTCCCATAGGACAAGACGAATCTGCAGCGGCTGGGTCTCCTACACGGCCTTGTCCATGCGGAGCGGAATCTTCGTCATCTCCAGCCGCTCCGTTAACCTCAGGGATAGCCGGGTGACATTTTGAGGTTTGCTGATCTGACCACAAGAAATAGTAGGATTTAACCATAGGTTCCCCAATAAAGTAGACTTTAGTAGGTTCCCCATGGATATTAACATATCTTCAGCAAATCACAGAAAATGATGAGATGAGTTGCAAACAGGGTGAGATGACCAACACTTCTCAAGACACCTGGGTGGATGATTATTAAGGTACCACGACAAGCCCAGAAAAAAGCACACCTCCAAATGGTCCAAAGAAACTTTTGCTGTGGTGATTTAGGGAAAGATATACAGGAAACCATAGGTTGTGCAACTCAGCCGGAAAAACTGGGTTAGGTCCTATGCATCAATTCTGGGAAACTCTGGCAAGACTTACTATGAGGAGCAAACAGTGCCTTACGACACCATTTTCCAGACGAAGTCAGATACAGCATTTAAAGTGCCTACGTGTCCAAAAAATTAAGAATCTTAGAGACTAGAATTTCTTCCTTTCTTGGACACGTCATTTTTTTTTTCGGGAATAATCATACTCACAGCTTATAGCTCACAAGAAATGTGTCCCCACGGTTGGTGACGTCTATCCGAGCAACGCTTGAGGAATCCGGTCTGGCTCCTCGCAGGCAAATGTGGCTCCAAAGTTGGAGGAATTAGCCCAAAAAATGCATATTTAACTGAGAAAAACAGAGTTGTTTTTCGTTTTTTCCTACTGTTTTCAGACTAAGCCCAGTTCAGTTCGGTGAGGTGATCCAAGTGGTGCTTGAGCTATCAGCTATCAATCATCTCGATGGCTATTCGCACTTACCCGCAAAATTTAGGCTAGTATGTTGATGTCAACCCAAACTTGCAGTCTCTCATGTCATAGTATATATAGTATTTCTAATGTGCTAAACCCAAGTACAAACCATCCTCATACCCATAAGTGGGTGGTATAAACCATCCTCAAATGGTAGGCTTTTGATTGGGTGTATACATACTATATATTATTATATACCACATTATACTTGTGTATATCTCTATATATTTACATTAATTTGTAGATATATAACTTGCATTAACTAGCATCATATATGTCATATTTACTACTTCCAGGCCCCCAAGCCCCAAGCTGGGCCCAGTGGTGGCATGGGCATGGCTGGTCCTGGTACATCTCCGGACCCAGAGATCTGGTGCTGCTGAAGGTGAAGCTCATGCGACCGGAGCTTGGCACCTGCGGAAGTGTCGCTGAGTGAAGTAGATGAAGCCATGTCGGGGTTATCTCAATTAGATCAGGATATATATATATATATATATACGTATATATATATGTATAACATATATAACTACATAACATGTACCTGCTTGCATATATATACATGCTGCAATGCATAGTATGTACTTATATGCATGTACATATTATATAATATATCATATGTCCTCCGTCTTGTGCAGGAACCACCAGGAACCACCAGGAACCACCAGGAGTTTGGGCAGCCTGAAAAATCCCATCTTCATCTTCCGAAAAGGATGGCAAGTTCGAGGAGCAGTCTGTAAAGGCCTGCTTCGGAGACAGGGATAGTCTCTTGCAATATTTCAGCAGCATGCGCAGGATCGACCGGTGATAGGGCAGCGACAGATTGAGAGCATAGACGCCCTCGGGATTGGAGACTTGAAAAGCTTCCCCGCGGGCATTCCCCACATCAAAGCTCTCGATGCAATGTAGCCGCTCCAGCCGCGAAACCGCATACATGCGCATCAAGGAATGAGCCCCCAAACTCCCAAAGGGATTGCGAGAAACATCCAGTTCCGTGAGGCTACGATGTCGACTCAATGCATCCTCCAAAATCAAGGCACCTGTGAGATCTAAACGATTGATGGAGATGTCCAGGTACGTCAAGCTCTTGGCTTTGGAAAGGCATTCCAACATCAGATTGACCGGTTTGAAGGGCTTGGCCTCCCGGGGTTCATCTTTCTGTCATGACTACTGAACAACTAAGGCAACTAAGGTGATGTTTGAACCTGGATGAAAAAGACGGAACTATCAGGACACATCAGGATTCCCAACGGCCCCACCTGCTCGCTTTGCCGATCTTGATCCGTGCCCTCTGTGCCAGCCGAGGAGCAGTTCGACAAGGAGAGCGACCGCAAATGCACGTGCGGCTGTGAGACATAGGCGCCGATGGCACCAAAGACCTCATCTCCAAAGGCGTTCCAGCTCAGGTCCAAGGCCAAAAGCGTGTTGCATCTGAAGAGCGCTTCCTGACGGGACAGGGCCATACTTGGTCGGATCAAAAGGGAAAACTGTGATCCGAAACCCCCAGGTTTTTACTGGGAAAATGGTTGGTTTTCACCTGCACGTTTTTTGTTCTGACACAAATCAGTGGCAACTTTTTGGATGGTTGACCTATGAAAATCCATCGGATCATAATCCTTTGCAGAATGGAAGAGGCAAAATACTTCAAAGTTTTGAAAAGTAAACATGGTTTGCGACCCATCTTTACACTTTACACCAATGAGAAGAATCCTCTTGACTGACAAACCAGGTGCTTTCTCTAACTGTCATTCCTACTGCAAGTAGTCTAATTCTTGGTATTGCTACACTGAATCCAATGAAAGTGTATGGCTACAGATTCAATTCATCCGATCCCAAAAAACACAACAAAACATTCAAAAGAACAAGTGTATCCATCTGCACATGAGATGCTTCACCCCCCCCAGTCCAGGCATTGCTTCGCCACGGGGTTACTGCCAAGCCCCACATCCGCCAGGTGCAGATTCTCCAAGTTGGAATGCTCACCCAGGGCCAGACAGAAGTCCAGCTGAAGTCGCACTGGGAAGGGAATACCACTCACATCCTGGCACCGAAAAACTGGGAGAATCTGGGAGTTTTTGACCAGCAAAACATATTAAAACATGGGAGTTTTCGGTACCTCTATTTCAGACAAAGCCGAATCATACTGGGAGTCTGGGACATACTGGGAGTTCAGCTTGATATTGGATAGAATCTTTGGAAGAAGGAGATGCTTGTCTGGGACTGAATTCTGACCCCATCACCAGGTTTATACAAAGGTTTTTCCAAACTCAAACACACAAGGTGTAGGCTAACCCTCGGTTGCCCCTGAAAGTTGTGTCCCAGAAATTGGTGTCCCTGATCACTGCCCTGCAGTTTTCAACACAATTCGACACCAGTGACGCGAAAAAGCAGCTAAGCTAAGCAACCGGAAAATCCACCCATTGTTAGTTTGATGTTCCTAAAAAGCAGAAAAAGATCCGCTTCTTTCGATGGAAAGCCCAGCATCCAAGATCTTCAAGTTGCTCAAGCCACTGGAACTCTCAACCAGATTGATGATCTCCTGCAGTCGTTAAATGTCCCCATTGAACATCACCCAACCATTAGGTATATGGTCTATAATGGCTACTAAGTGGCTACTATAAGGTCATGTCCAATATACCCAAAATGGGACAGTTACCAACCCCTGTCCTGAATGGCCTTTTCCCTCAATCTGACACACTGCCTCAGGCTGAGTCGGGTCAACGTGGCGCAGGCCGGGTTTCTCTTCATCTTCTGCAGCAGCGGCACCAGGGACTTGTCCGTCAGCAGGGTGTTTTGGCTCAGATCCACCTCCTTCACCTCCGGGACACTGCGAAACATCGTGGCCACGGGGATGATGTCGCCTGATCGGAGGGTCGGTTTGCTGAGCTCCAGATGCTGGAGAGGATGATGGCTTTTTGTCCGGGAGAATGTTGGGATGCGCATCTATCATAGCCAATTTCAGGGTATCAAGAGTCCTGAAACACCCCAGGCTTTGACAAGTTTTGAATCACAGTTTACTGGAAAAAAAAACTACAACTACAACTACAACACTCGAGCCCACACATGGATACGCGTCAAGATTTGAAAAACCTAAAAAATTGGATGGTATGATCAGAAACACTATAGATCCAGCTTGTGTGGTTTTAAATCTTTGATTGCTTTCATATGCATAGCCTTTTTTGATAGTGACAAGTTTCAAGAAACTCAACAAGACACAGGCATGGGTCCAATTTTCCTGAACAACGATCCAGCTCGTTCCACTTGCTGGAAATCCTCATCGGTAAGTCCACCAAACCATGGTTCTTTGAGTTGAACATTCCAAGATGTGTATCTCTAGGAACCCACACTTGTGGGCGAAAATCCATGTTCATCCTTATCTATTTATGGCTCAAAAATTGGTTCCAAAATTGGCAGAAATTCAACCATCCGTTTTGGGTAAAAATCATTTGACCCCTACCCCGTACAAGACCTGAAGTTTTGTTGGTTTAAAAAAAAAAATGAGTTTTGTCGGTAAATTCAAAAAAATGAGGTGATGGATCAAAACCCTGCTGCTCTTCTCAATTGCATCAAAATAGCCGGGATTCATGGATGTTCAGTTCTCCAGATATGGTATTTCATAGGTAGCTTGATCCAGCCCTCAATCCAGCGGTTAGTCATGTTCATTCATTTTCACTCTAATAATTGCCACATGTTGGCAGTTGTTTTTCCCAGATTTCCATAGATTTCCCTTTTTATTGGAGATATCAGTTGAAAGCATCCAAAATCCCCATCAAATCCCTGCTTTCCGGCTGCAACTCCCAACATTTTCCGCCGGCCCGCTGGGGCCGAGTGGCAATCCGCCAGAGCCCAGTTGGCTGCGTCCAAAGTGCTCGAGCCACCGGTGATAAAGTCCAGGGGAGTGGGCAAGATGCCACCGCGCTCGCAAGCTGTCATGTACCTGATATGACCCAAAAAGGCAACTGTTTGCACCCGATGTTTAATTATTCATTAGAATCGTTTCAACTTGGGGATTTCATTGAATTGTCAAGCCGATTCAAATAATGTTGCTCAAACAAACTTGGGGCCAAGGGGTGATGAAAGCTAGCTTGGCAGGAAGCTTGGCATGAAAAAAAATGATACTGAGGATGCGGATGCTGCCGAATTTGCTTGGCGACATGCCGACGGTGTCCCCAGGGGAGGATTGAGCCACGACCAAACTGCTTGTGAACCAGTCAGCCCGGGGGGGAGGTAATTAAGTATGAAGTTTCATGCGATTGGAGATTCCAGCCCCCCAATACCTTGCTAAAGAGGAAGTTCAGCTAGCAGAAGCTAGCTTTCGTGAAAATTGCGTGTCATTGCGTGTCATTAGGTGTCATTGCGTGTCAGCGCGTGTCA